GACACTACATTTGACAAATTTTGCTTCTATTCATACGTTTTTCAAGGTTAATCTCGGAGAATGGACATCCTATCCCTTCTTCACAATCTGTGCTTTGTCTGGAAGCTCTGCTGGAACCTGTTCATCTTGGGCGACCCTGCTGGTACTTGAAGTACTTAGTGACATAGCTTCCATCATCCCCGCAGCATACAAGCCAGCATGGTACCATGAACTGAAGAAGAGTGGTAGCTCCCTTTTGTAGTTAAACTTTCATGTGATCGAGAAGTTCGTCACCCTTTATATTCAGTTCTGTAACTCCAGTTGGATTTTTTTATCCATATGCTTATTCTAAACGTTAAAAACAAAAAAGACATTTATGTTTTTATCAGCTTATAGCTTTGTAAACAGGCCATTGTATTTACTTCCCTACCCTGTCTCTGATATTAAATGCAAACCTTATATTTTATTAGTAGTTCTCCAATATTTTAGTTTGTTTCTAATATAGGACAATGACACACACACACACACACACACACATGTTTCCCTGCAATTTTTGTCTTGAAGATACTTCATCAGCACCACAAGCTTGTCTACCTTCTCAATTACCCTACAATTCCGAGGTCCCCCTTTCTCAGCATACGTTTTTGCAGAGCCCTTGTTATTTTTGACTCTATTCTGGATCCTTCTATTCTTATCTCACTTACAGCTTTATTTCTGAGATTCCTCTGCCTAATTAGTTTGGATCCTCTGTTTTCACAATTGCCAGGTTTAGCAAATAAAAATATAACATTCATAGCTAAATTTGAATGTCAGATAAACAATTTTTTAAGCCTACTGTTTTATGCATCCCAAGCTGCTTTCTTTCTTTGTTGAGCAACTTGTTTTGTTAGAAAATTCTCCATTATATTCCTAAGAAAAGTAGTGTAGGTGAAAAACATCCTGAGCCTTGAAATTATCTTTCTGTCTTCACCTTTGACTGATAGTCTACCCATAGGCCTGTAGCTTGGAAGATGATTTCTCTCAGAAATTTCAAGATTTTGTGCTATTGTTTTCTGAATACAGTGTGTCTAATGTGAAATTGTTTCTTCTGTTATTCTTTGCTGGTTTCTGGCCTTCCTTTTTGCTGGTTTTCTTTTTGGAACTATGTTAGTCATCTTGAATCTCCTGCATTGGTCTCAGTAACTCCCTCTACACACAAACACACAAACACACACACACACCCATGCCCCCATATATTCCATGTCTGGCTTCTCTGCCTTAAATTCAAGGAGATTTTCTCAATTGCTTCTGGCCACCAAAATAGTCTATTTTTATTTTGTAAATAATTTGCTTGGATGGCTCTAAATGTATTTGGGGTTTTTATAAGTTTCTCATAGCCCCTGAATTATTTTTATTTCATCCAGTGTCAGTTTTTCTGTTTGTATATTCTTTCTCCTAATGTTCTGATTGCCCTTATGTAGCTGATGATACCTTATTACCTGATCTTAC